CCCACTTCGTCGGCTACCCCTCTGATACTTTTCCTCTGTTGATATTTATTCTTTCTTGTCAACTGTTCGGAATGGGCTACATCTACCCCAATTGAATTGGCCTTGTTAGCACTGACGCCCCCCACTCCCTCACTTGGTAAAGCAACTCCCATCTTTTCTTTTGCTGTATATTTATACTTGCTTACTGTATTTTCCACTCCATGCATTTGATGAAGTGGGTTATATCCCACAAAAGCTTATGCTCAAATACATTTGTTAGTCTCTAAGGTGCCACAAGGACTCCTCGTTGTTTTTACTGATACAGACTAACACGGCGACCCCTCTGAATACTGACCCTGAACTTCAGTGAACTTCAGGCTCATTATCTGAAATGTCCAGTGACGTTCCAAATATCAGCTTCAGCCTCTGAGGATTCTCTAGCTATTTGTCCCAGACAAAAACAAACACACCCAAACCGCAAAAGAGCACAGTCACTGACTCAGGGGTTTACTGGTGAACAGAATTACAGTAAAAAATGTGTCATGCTCCTTCTTGAAGAAACTGAAGAGCATACAATAGGATTAATGGGCAAAATAACCACGTCTGACAAACAAATACCTCATGTTGTGTCTTGTGTTTGAAACAAAAAGAAAGAACAAAAAAACCCCACAGCTATTGTTGACGCAGCTATTAGTGAACAATTACAGCAGGAATTGCATAGAAGAGTATGATTTTAGAAAACAATATCTTAAACAGAGGGCTTCATGATCCTTTCAAACTTCAAGTGGTAATGATCATTAATAAGTGGACTTTTATTGCAACTCAATTCATCGATCTCCAAAGTATCACAATATTCCATAAACATATAGCTATATGTGGATCATCCACTACCAAAATGCATCCACTTCTGGAGTGGAGTGCAACAGCTATTTAACAATACCCAGCAATACTAAAAATAGTTTAGGATAAGAAGTGAAGAAGAATGCTATATCCAATTTGTGCTGTATGTAACCTGTACCTATTGACTTGTCTTGTGTGGTACAACTTTAAATGGAGTGAAATACCCTGCCTTGCTGCAGTCATTTAGGCCTTGTCTACACTACGAGAGTAGTTCGATTTTACTTGCATCGAATATTTGGAATCGATATTGCAAAGTCGAACGTGTGTGTCCACACTAAGGACAGTAATTCGACTTTGTGAGTCCACACTAACGGTGAAAGCG